ACTCTTGCCACTTTATTCCTCGGGTTTCGTGGACAAGAACACAACATTGTTCCAGGAACATGGAGCACCGTGCCACACTGCTAGAAACACCCAAAAGTGGCAGGAAGAAAATGGTATCCAGAAGTTGTCCTGGCCGAGCCAGTCTCCTGACATGAACTCCATCAAAACCTTTGGGCCATACTCGACCGGCAAGTCAAGAAACAGCCAAAAAAACCAACTTCGAAGAGCAATCTACTCCAAGTTTTGAAGCAAGATTGGGCGAAAATCCCACAATCTAAAATTGACGAGATGATTCTCACGATGCTCCAAATGATCAACGAACTCCACGAAGCGAAAGGGAGATCTACTAGATATTAATTAAATTATAAATATATCAGTTCATGTGAATATGACTGAAAAATTACATTTTTTCTGAAAAGGTGGTATTTATTTACTTGTGACCACGCTGTGTATATTCTTTAATCATCTGAACATTGTGGAGATGTGTGAGATCATATTGCATTAAAGAGAAAATGAGAAAAAAGTATACATAAGTTAGAGTGCATTATTATATTTTATGGATAAAGTAGTAACTGGTAAGATATTCACACATCAACTTATGAATTTTAAAGTGAATACCAATAGACTTGTGTCTCGTGATTAATACTTGACAAAGTGGTCTTTAGTTCCATCTTTTACAGTCAAAAGTACTTGACAATCAGAAAAAATACAATAATTTAGGTAAATAATGATAAGATATCTGACAATTAATTAGTTGTTTAAAATGCTATAATTTTATTGTATCTAAGAGTATTTTCTATAAATGTAGATTTGAAGTATTGTTATATACTACAAGAATGAAAAGGTAGTTTAATTCATGAGAAAACTGTGATTCAATAATTTGGTCATTTGGACTTAAGAGATGGATAATATGACCCATTAAGAGTGAAAAACAAAATATTGAAGTAATATTTTATCACTTAATGCAACTTATTAATATGTGAAATGTGTGGGGTAAAGAAGGTTATCATTTTACAGTTATATAGACTTTTATTTCTTTGTAAGAATTATAATAAATAACTCTTGTTAGTTGATGAAACACAAGTTTGTGTAAACATATCAAGTAGTTTATTACATTAAAAAATTCATTATTATTATCATGTGAAAAAAGCATAATCTGTAGGTCTAGTTAAGAGCTATGCTTTTGTTTTTGTTTGCAGTGGCAAAAATATGAATTAGTAAATCAAAATGCTAAAACAAAAAAGCTTTAATAAAGTGTCACATTACTTAAAGGGCCAGTTAAATCTAGGATATTAAAGACTGTTTATATATGTGAATTTTTGTAAAGAGGACATTTATTTCTCTCATGAAATGTATAAAATTATTATGACTAATAATTATTAATTATGACTATATAATTATTGTTATATCTTGGAAAGTTTATAACTGAACTTAAGCCATCAAAAATTGTTTTTCTAATTGTCAAAAAAAGCTGATTCTAAGCCACATGCATAAATTCATATAGCTGTGCTTTAATTGTTGATAGAATACATCAAATATATAAACTAGTTCTGTCTGAACACTAGGTAAAAGCTGAAATGGCTGTAATCCAATGGTATGAATGTTTCTAAATTACTAACCTACTATTTCCACAGAAATGATGTTTTTAAAAATTTATCATTCTGATATGAAGTGAGCAGGAAGAAGATACTCAAATGAATTGCTTCTTTCATTGAAATATTTGGAGTCCTGAAATGATTTTATTTTGAGTAAAGATGCTTAATTGTAGAGTGGAAGATAGAAACAATAATAATAATAATTATATTATTAAAAAATACAACCACTAGCTACAGAAAAAAAAAGAGACCAACATAATTTCATTTTGTCTTTTTCTTAACACCTTAGTTTCTGCTCACACCATATGAAATATTTGATTGATATGGTAGAGAAAAGAACACTATGCAAGAAAACTTAAAAATTGACACTATAGCTCACAACCAAGGTTGAAAGTGGAAGTAAGAAGTACATGGGTAGAAATGAAATAAAAGGAATTAATAAACTTGGAGTGAAAAAACTTTTTTTAATGTACAAGTACACACACACACACACCTGTATATATA